AGCACCCTGAGGAGCCCAGATGTCAGAAGCCCTGTGTTACAAGAAACAGAAGGTATCAGGGTGCCTGGGGGAGCTCAGGTCACGATCCTGGGGTCCTGGGATTGAGCCCCACGTCAGGCTCCTTGCTCAGTGGGGAGTCTGCTTCTCCCTCTGCTGGTCTCCCTGCTTATGCTCTCTGTGGCTCAAACAAATAAATAAAATCTTACAAAAAAAAAAAAAAAGAAGAAAGAAACCCAACGACAAGTCAAACTGTCAACTCCAGGAAGTGAGCAAAGGAAAAAAACCAGTGGAAAGAAATGACATAACAAATCAGAAGCAGGACCCAAGATGCACCCACACAGCTCACACCTCCGAACCACTCTGGTCCGGGTCCCTGGGGCCTCCATCTGGTCAAGCCCTCGGGCCTCCTGACCTTGCTGTCTCTTCCTCTGTCGCCGCCTGGTCACCACCCAGGCCCTGGACGTCCTGGGGCTTCCCGGTCAGAATTGTAAAGATCCACAAGGCTGGTGGCTGGCTCTTACCAAGGGGAGGTGCTGAAGTATGTTCTCCCCAAGTTCTGTGTGCAGGTCCTAACCCGTAGGATCTCAGGATAGGACTATATGTGGATACTGAGGCTTTAAAGAGGTGATCAGGTTCAAATAAGGTCATAAGATGGGCCCTGATCCAACAGGACTGGTATACTTATAAGAGGAAATTTGCTTTTTTCCTTCCCCCTTTTCTTAATTATAAGAAAAATTAGATACAGACATGCCCAGAGGGAAGGCAAGGTGAAGACACAGCCGTCTGGTCAGCTGCAAGCCAAGAGGCCTGAAGAGACCCTTCCCTCATGGCCTCGGAAGGAATCAAACCCACTGCCATCTTGATTTTGGACTTCCGGTCTCCAGAACTATGAAGGGAATAAATTGGTTTTAAGCCCCCAGTCTGGGGTACTTTGTTATGGCGGCCACAGGAAACTCAAGACAGTGAGGGTATGAGGTACAAAGGCTCTCATCGGGGTGCCCGGGTGGCTCAGTCAGTGAAGTGCCCAACTCTTGGTTTTGGCTCAGATCATGGTCTCAGGGTCCTGGGATCTTGCTCGGCTCAGTGGGTTCTCGCTCAGGGATTCTCTCTCTCCCTCTGCCCCCCCCCATCACATGCACACATTCACTCGTTCTAAAATAAATGAATAAATCTTTTTTAAAAAATATGCTACCATCTCCTTGCAGGAGTAACTGGCATTTCTATTCTTCCCTGGATAGATTCCCTTCAAAGATGACTCTGTCATGAGGACTCAGGGCCCATGGTTTACCTGGGAGGTCACCCCAGGGAGACTCCTTGGGGCCAGAGACATGAAACAGGGAGGGATGAGCCCTGTGGAGGTGCCGCTGAACAGGTGATGAAGTGGGCCACCTGGGCTTGGTCCTGTGGGGGGGCCTTGGGTGACAGTGGATCTCACTTGAGTGACCCACCCCAGTGGTGAGAGGCTGTCCACAATCATTGGCTGAGGGCCACTCCTGGGGTGTCAGGGCTTCTTCACAGGGGCCCCCAGACTGGGCTGCAGGGGCTTACAGCCCACAGCAGTTTTGGCAACCATGAATGCTGGACTTAATGAGGGGCACTGGCAGCGTCGGTTAACATATCCCGATCTTTACTTAACAAAATGTTCCTGAAAAACCATAGACACACTAGTGCATAGAAGCAAAGAGGCATATACAAGATTTGTTTCAGAAAATGCCAGGAAGCGCAACCCTAACTGCCTTCAATAGACAGGATAAAGCCACTCCTATTGCTAGACATTGAGAAGTAGTCGAGAGCTTCAGGCAAAGCTGGATCCAGCAGCCCAGACAACATCACCAATAATCCCACTCCTCTGTTTTCTGCAGTGTCAGCTTCATCTGGGGATCACTTCCTATCTTGTGATCGTAGGACAGTCCCACCAATTGCCTGTGCTGGTGTTTCTTCCCTCAAGACCAGTGGGAGAGAGGGAGGGTGCCTCTAGACGTTCTCCCTGGAAGTGGTTAGCAAACATCTCCCCTGCTGTCATGGGCCCAAATGGGGTCATGTGCCCACCTCTGTATTTTAGGAGATGCAGCAGTGGTTGGGGGAAAATGGGGATTTGACCCCCATCTTCCGAGGCTCAGGGGCTGGGACGAGAGGTGGGACTGAGAAATCGGTAGGACGTGAGAGGCAAGCTGGATGGGCCCCAGGAGCCACCACCTCATTGTCATCGAACAACCCTGACTGCCACCAACAAAGGATGGGTAGAGGTCATCACAGGCCACCACCCGGGGGGAAACACCAAACTGTGGCTGAACAATGAGATCTACCATACGCAGTGCGGACCAAGGTATAAGAAATCCGGCTGGAAGAAAGCAGCAGGCAGAGCGGCTCCAGGCCACCGAGGCTGCCCCTGCAGAGTGCGCCCACCCAGGCACACATGCTTACCCAGTCACCCCTCCCCTGGCACGTGGAGGCTCCTACTCTCTGCCTCTGGCTGGCTGGGCCCTGCAAGTTGGTCCAGGAGCTGGGCTGCAGCAGAAGCAAGTCTCAGTGGCCAACGTGAGACCTCTGATGGCCTCGACCTTGGGCCCCGCAGACAGCTGATCTCATTCCCAAACCACCTGCAGAGTGGAGCCCCTGGCAATTGGCAGGCTGGCAGGGCACTGGGGACAAACAGTGGGCCTCTGTGGCCCTGCTCGCTGCAGCAGGACACAACCCGTGCTGACCGGTGACGTGGTGGGCCACCTATGTTCTCAAAAGGGGCAAGTGTTCATGCACAGGATGTCTCCAGGACACATGAGAAACTGGTAACAGAAGACACCTTGGCGGAGGGAACTGGCAGGGGGACCTACTTCTCACCGCAACCCTCTGTGCAGTTGGGAGTTTTCTAGAAGACCTGTATGTAGTAATAATTCAAATAATAAGCACATTAAAAAGGGTTATTCAAGGGGTACCTAGCTGGCTCAATCTTTCGAGCACTTTTTTTTTCTTTCGGAGAGGGAGAGGTAGGGGAGGGGCAGAGAGAGACTCCCAAGCAGGCTCCACTCCCAGCACAGAGCCTGAGGCCGGGCTCCATCCCACCGCCCTGACATCACCACCTGAGCCCAAACCAAGAAGTGGACGCTTAACCCACTGAGAGCTCTGAGCATGTGACTCTTGATTTCAGAGTCTTGAGTTCAAGCCCCACACTGGGCATGGGGCCTACTTTAAAGAAAAAAAAAAGAAGAAAAAAAAAAGGTTTATTCAAGAATATATTAAAAAATCTGTCAAAATAACCTCAACGCTAACAGTTTTTGGTTCACAGGGAGTGGAGGTTGGGGGTTAAAGTCGCAGAAAAGAGGGGCACCTGGGTGGCTCAGTGGGTTGAGCCTCTGCCTTCAGCTCGGGTCATGGTCTCGGGGTCCTGGGATCGAGCCCCGCATCAGGCTCTCTGCTCAGCAGAGCCTGCTTCCTCCTCTCTCTCTGCCTACTTGTGATCTCTGTCAAATACATAAATAAAAAATCTTAAAAAAAAAAAAAAAGTCGCAGAAAAGAAGGACATAGTCAGGAAAAAAAAATCATTTTAATTTTTATTAAATATACTCTCTTGGCACAAATCTTTAAAATATATAAACATATATATAAACAAAGTGTCTTCATGGCATCAAAATGTAACTCCAGATCAGGATGGACACCGGTGGGAGGGGTGAGGCCGAGGAGGGCACCGGCCCAGCTGTGTGCAGGGCTGGGGGTTGGGGGGATGCTGCTGAGGCCGTCAGCTGAGAGCCACCTTGGGGAGGCACACTGGGGCCAGCAGGACCTGGAGGCCCTTCCCTCTGCGGCCCAGCCTGCGGCTCAGAGAAGGGTGCCGCCTAACCATGCCTTTGGTCTCACCTGCCTGGGGTGGTCCCCAGCCCCTGCTGCTTTCTCTCACCCCAGAGAGCCCTTGGGTCCCCACCCCATCTCCCTGAGAGGGGCCCCTGCCTCTCCTGCCTCTCCTGGGCAGGGGGCAAGGCTGGCAGAGGAGGTGGGAAGCCCCCCAACAGAACAGCCATGGGCCCCGGGGACGAGACTCAGGCCGGCCGGTGGACACATGCAAGGAAGGACAGAGAGAGGGGTCTTCACACCCGCAGGTCCAAGGCAAGAACAGAAATGGGACAGAACACAAGGGAGAAATGAAAGTCATGACTGGAAATGTGCATGAGGCAAACACGCCCTCTCAGACCCTTTTGCACAGGGCGGCAGCCCATTGATCTGGTCATCCTCTGGTCACTCTCTGCCAGAACCAGATCAGGCCGGTTAGGGTTTACTATGACTAGACCCAGGGGCAGCCTGATTGAAAAGCAAAGCCAAAAGAAATCAAGAAACTCTACAGGTCATTCAGAAATGGGTGTTTCTGCATCTCTGATACCCTGACTGCCCATCCCCAGGCCACACAATGTCTCAGGGGCTCTCACTTTGGGAGGATCAAGGCTGCCGGTCCGCCTCCATGCACTCTGTTTATGCAAATCAGACCACCCTGTGTGCCTTAAACTGCCCCGAGTCTGGCCAAATGCCCGCTAAGGGGGGGGGAGCCAGGGACGCATCAGATGCCACAGGCCCCCCAGGAGCCACTGTGCCTAGGGGCTGAGGGTTAGGGCCTGAGGCCTGGCCTCTGGTGATGAGGCCTGTGGGACAGTGGTGGGAGCTTCCTGGCCCAGAGATGACCTGGGTCCCAGCAGATGCCTCCAGGTTAGGACTCAGACCCAAAGCCATGGAGATTCCACAAACGCTGCTGGCTGGAGGAGGCACGACTCTCCAGGGAACATTACAAACGGGGTGGGTGAGCAACACAGGGGATGACCCACTCCTGGGGCCCTATTTGGGCCATGGAGTCCAGGACCCAAATAATGCTATCCGGAGAAGCCTGTTCCTGATCAGGAGGCTCTGGTGACAGAGGAGTCATGTCATCTGGGAAGTAATGGCAAAGGCAAGACAGGTGGGTGGGGGAAGTGGGTTTGGGTGGGTGGGGGGCGGGGTTGGGAGGGGATACTGTTTTTCTAGCCCCAGCTGAAAACGAGGCCAGCCCCATCTCACCACGGCCGGGAGGCTGGGGCCTCTCTGTCTATCCTGGGGCTCCCTCCTCTCTGTAAGAACAGGGGCAGGCGAAGTCTGGCTCCAGGCCCCGTGGGCATTGGGTCACTAGAACCAGGACCGTGTCCCAGGTCACAGAGCACCAGGAGGTGGCGCTGGTCACTCCCAGCTCCCGTCATTTAGGGCAGCCCCTCCAGGAAACAGGGCCGCCTGCCTGGGGAGGAGGGCTGGGGAGAGCGCGAGAGGCCCCGCCCATCAGTCCCAACATTGCACTTCAAGGGCCGCTGCCTTTGGGACCCCGACCAGGCCCCCCAGCTTGTTCTACAAGGTGCTCCGACGTCCCGGGTCCCGGGGTGGAATCGAGCGCAACCTCACCCCACAGGCTCAGAAACAAGGGGTCGGTGGTCCGCTGCACATGGAAGCCCCGCTCCCTGGCGCGCGGGTCCCTAGCTCTGCAGGTGCCGAAGCAGGATCTGCATGAGGTCGAAGGTGGTGAAGCTGATGCCCACGGCGATGGGGCCCTTGAGCCAGTTCATGCTCAGGCCCTTGTAGAGGCCGCGCACGGCGCCCTCCTCCCGCACGATGGCCTGCAGCGTGCCCACGATGGAGGCGTGCGGGTGCCCGGTGACCCCAGCCGTCTGCATGCGCCGCCGCACCACGTCCAGCGGATACGAGGCCGACTGCCCAATGAGGCCAGCGCAGGCCCCGAATATCATGCGCTCAAAGGGGTAGGGCTGCGGGCGGCCACTGTACTCTGCGGGCAGGGACAGAGGGGCTGCGTCATCGTGTGGGGGCCGCACCCCGGAGCTGGCGCTCACACGAGTTCCGAGCTCAGGATCCGACCCCTGCCCCCCAGGGCCTTCCCGCCCCGGGCCCCCTCACCCTCTAGCCGTTCCTTTTGAGAAGAAAACTTTTTAAGAAAGGCAGAAATGCACAAATAATCACTTAACCAAGTCCTACCACGCAGAGCGAGCTCACATCTGAGCCCTCTTGTCCCCGCTGGCAGCCCTCTCCATGCCCCCAGCCTGCTCCATGGACACTGTCCGCAGGGGTACCGGGGCAGGCAGGGCGAGCAGCTGCCAGGACGGGACATGTGGGCAGGACGGAGTGGGGGGCAGCAACCAAACAACAGAGTTCTTTTAAAAACGTGAGCTTATAAATTTAACAGGAGCTAGCCCCGTGAAACAGCGCTCCTCACCGCGCACACTGGCGGAGGGTGAAGGACTCCACCAGCACCCGAGGGAGGTGAGTGCGCAGGGATGGGGCTGGGCAGAGGGGGGAGTGGAGTAAATGCCAAAACCTGGGGCTCACAGAGAACACGCAGGGAGGCACTCCGGGGTGATCACCGACAACCTGGGAACAGGGGAGGCCGTCTTACAAAGCCGATGGGACAGAGCCTCGGATACTGTGGGATGGATTCAGAGGCGGCCTGGGGCCCTGCGGAGGGAGCAGAGCTGGGAGCGGGAACAGGGGGCCTTCGCTTCACCTGGAACATTTGCTTTAACAAAAACCATCTTGGAACACTGTTAACACCTGGTCGCCTGGGGTAGCCGGTCTGGGTGGCGGTATACTGTTCTCTGTACGCTTCTGCGCTTTCTGAATTCCTCAAAATTACCACCACCCAAGAGACCTCTTCCCCTGTCCGCCTAGGTTGTACCTGGACGCTTTGGGCACAAATGACTGCCACTGGTCTTGGTGACACTCAGGACGTCACCAAGCTGGTCTTAAAACTCGGCAAGGAAGGCTGGGAGTCCAGCTGCCTCCGTGGTGGCCTGGTGTCCGTCCCGTTCTGATGCGGACCTTGGCCGGGAGCTTGTCCCTCCCAGGGCAGAGACCTCAGTGGCCCGCCTCTGAGTCTGCGTGGCCCCGGGGAGGTGCAGCCTGTGCTGCCTCCCCACCGGCCCCTTACCTCTGTGCAGGCTCTTGAGTGTCTCATAGGTGAAGAAGCTGAGCCCCGCATATGGAATGACCCCCAGCACGGTGGGCGTGAAGCCATGGTAGAGGGTCTTCAGACCCTCTTCGCGGGAGATGCGGATAAAGACGTGAAAGATGTTGCTGTACCTGCAGGACAGAGGGACGGGCCAGGTGGTTCGCGGGCACAGAGAGGGGCCACTGGCCTCCGCTAATGCACAGCTGGCCCACCCCCCTGGAGTCCGGGGGGCCGGGGACTGGGTGTAGGTGCTTGCTTTCTTTAAGGAACACAACTGCACTGAAAAATCTTTGGCACTGGAGGGGGAAATGGGTGCCTCAGGCCGTATCCCACCTTCACAGGCCACATCACTGCAGGGAGCGGCCCTTGTCTTTTAACCGTGGCCATGTGTAACCTACCTGTGCTAATTCAAAACGAAGAGTTTGAGGGGAGCGGGGGTGTCCGGGTGGTGCAGTTGGTTAAAGGTCCGACTCTTGGTTTCGGTTCTCATCATGATCTCGGGGCCATGGGATCAAGCCCCATGTCAGGCCCCACACCCAGTGTGGAGTCTGCTCGGGATCTGTGCTCTCCTTCTCCCTCTGCCCCTACCCCTACCCTACTCTCTCTCTAAAAATGGATGGATAAATCTTTTAAAGAAGTGCAGACTTTGGATGTGATGTAAGCAGAAGCTGAGCCCTGGGCGAGGGGAACAACTACTGCCTTTTTAGAGCGGCTGCAGGCGGCCCGCCCGGCCTGGGAACTCACATTTCCTTTGGGGTCACGGCCATCCTGGCTCTGACCAGGTCCAGGGGGTAGGTCAGTGAAGCAGCTGTCGTTCCGGCCAGTGCACCCGCAAGGAGGCGGGGCCATGGGGGCAGGGCTCTGAAAGAGGGGGAGGCGAGAGAGTGAGACCCCCTCAAGACTCGGGGTGCCCACAGGTCTCAGCCAGTGAGGAGAACCAAGCAAAGGGCAGGGGCTGGCTTCCTCATGGCTGAGTAGTGGGGTCCCCGGGGTGGATGTCATTTTGAGGTTCCCATGGCTGCTGTCCCTTCCCGATGGCTTGTGCGGATGAATGAAGAGTTCCTTCCCTGCAGACACTGAGGGGCACAGCTGGGATCATGGGACCTGCGCGGACTTGGGTTCTCAGGGAAGGACTTCTGCCGTGGTGAGCGTGTGGAGGGCAGGAGGGCAGGGTTACGGGACAGAGCTAAGAGGGCTCTGGGGGTGGGGACAGGTGGGGGCGGGCACTCACTCCCCGCGGAAGCCATAGTAGCGGCCCAGGACCCGCTTGTACTCCTCGTGGGCACTGAACTGGATGGCGGCGTAGGGCACCACGCGCACCATGGTGGCCGAGTTCCCGCGCCACAGGCTGAAGAAGCCCTCGTTGAGGTAGGTGAAGTACAGCAGCCGGAAGGCCTCCTGGCGGGGAGGGGAAGGTCAGCACTCCCGCGTGAGCACCCTCTTTTGTCCACCGCTGTGACAGGGGCCCATGTTAGTGATTCCCTCCCCGCCGCCTTACCTCCCCCACATTCTCTGGGCCCCACATGGGGACCCCTCTCTCCCTACTGCCCTGACCTTACGAGGAGTAAAGTGAGCCAGGGCAAGCCAGGTTTGCAGACGGCAGCCCCACAGAGAGGGTGTGTGGTCGGTCGGTCTGGTAGTCTAGCTTTTAAAGACACGCTTTTTCTTTCCCCAAGAAGGTAATGCCTCCTCTGGTTAAAAATGAATCAAATGGGGGGCGCCTGGGTGGCTCAGTTAGTTAAACATTTGCCTCTGGCTTGGGTCATGATCTCGGGGTCCTGGGATCAAGCCCCACATCAGGCTCCCTGCTTTTCCCTGTCCCTCCCCCTGTCCCTGCTCTTGCATTTGTACTTGTTCTCTCACTAATAAAAAAAAAAAAAAAGAATAAAATGTGAACTCCAAGTCCCCTCCCCACCGCCCCAAGGATGGGGGGGGTCTCCTGTTAGTTGCCAGAATGGGCTACATCCGGGCAGAGCTTGGGATGCCAGGAGAGGTGGCCCCCTGGTAGCTCGGGGAACTGGCTTGTGGTGGAACCAGATGGAAAAAACATGCTGTAAAGCCTCTCCCTCCACCCCGGGGCCCTGTGCCTCCATCACCTCCTGCCAGCCTAGTAGGGAACATGGTAGTGGCCCCAGAGCCAGGAGTTGGTGACCTAGTGGCTCACCTTGGCAGAAAATCTCTTTGAAGACACTGGAAAAAAACCAAAAACATAACAGAGACCATTAGCTGTGAAGGGCAGAGCTGGGTCTGCGGGACCCCCAATGCACAGGGAGCGAGAACCACCCGTGTAGATGCTTCCCCGCCAGGGGCTGAGGGGCGGGGCATGCCCAAGCAGGGTCACCCTCCTCCAGGGAACCGCCTCACCTGCTGCGCCCTGCACCACCACCCCCTGCCCAGCCCACCTCCCCAGCCCCCCAACCCCCGCATGCTTACTTATCCCCAGGAAGGGGGACTGAGCTGCCACCTCACTCCTGGGAAAAGTGAGGGTCTCTGCAGATGCCTGTGCCTCTTGGGGTTGACACTCAGCACCCCGCACCCAGCTGGACCCCAAGTCAACCAAACCCCTTCGGGAAAGGCCTCCTCGCTGCCAGCTGTGCAGAGCGACGGAGGGCCTTGGGCCTCTCAGAACAAGGCGCCGATGTGCTCTCTGCCCAGAGCTGGCCCTTTCTTCTCCGGGTGCGGGCATGGCGCTCCTGACCAGCCTCTCCCACCCTCGATCACTTGCACCTTGCTCCCCGACGCCACCTGGTGCCCTGCTGGCAGGGGCCTGAGCCGCTGCGGCCACAAGGGTTCGTGTCCTGCAGCCTCCCTCTCCTCACTCCCGGAGCATCTGCCGAGTGTCTGCCATGTTCCCAGGACACCCTCGCACACCCATCTATGCAGACATGTGTGCACACCAATGCGACCGGTGTTAAACCCTGCTCCCTGTGGGGCACAACACTGTGCCTTCGCTCCAGGTAACAACACTGCCGTCGCAAGAGGAGCTGGGCGCCCAGCCGAATGCCCTTTCCCATGCCAGCTTGTGCCTTCGGGAGGCTGATATGAACGTCATGTTTTGTGGATGAGGAAACCGAGGCATGGGGAGGCTAAGGGACCAGCTCGCACAAGTGGGGATGGCCTGGCTTGAATCTGCAGTCCCTTCCTCCCCAGCAGCGGAGGGGCAGGGGTCCCAGCTTATGCTTGCCCTCCTGTAGGCACCGGTCACTGTCTGTGGGACAGAAAGGCCTCATCTTCAGGGGATCCTATGGCTGCTTAACCTAAGGAGGGAGGGTGATGGTCATCTGAACCGGGCCTCCTCAAAAGATATGTCTGTGCCCTTGAGTCCAGTACAACTGAAGGCTTGGAAACGGGGTCTTTGCAGATATAATTTTATTAAGATGAGGTCATACTGGAGTGGAGTGAGCCCTAAATCCAATGACAAGTATCCTTCTAAGAGGAGAGGACACCGACATGGGGGGGGGAAGCAGAGATTGGGGTGCTGTGACCACAAGCCAGGGATGCCTGGAGCCCGGGGCGCTAGAAGAGGCAAGGAGGGCTCCTCCCCTAGAGTCCACAATAGGAACCGACCCGCTGGCACCCCGATTTCAGACTTCTGGCCTCTGGAATGGAAGCTGCTTGGTTTGTGGTACTTTGTGATGGCAGCCCTGGGATGCTAACGGAGTTTCTAAGTGGATTTTAAAGAGGCATTTTTAAAGCCCATTTGTAAGTGCAGTTTGGGGGCTGCGGAGGAGGGGGGCTGCCAGGAAGCCTCTCTGGCACACTGGACAGACGCACAAAAAGCATTTACCTTGGAAGATGATTTTGGTTCGGTCCAGGGGAGCTACAGCCGTTTTGGCAAGAGCACCCGCCAGGGCCCCAGACAGGAGGGAGCTGAGAACTTGCCTGTGATCACTCTGCAAGAAAACACACACACACACAGTCTGTCATGAGGGAGGGACGGACAGGGGTCGGTTCTGCTAGGGACCTCCCCCAGCAAGCACATCTTCCTTCTGTCCCAGTCAAGGGCTGTAAAAGGCACAGCTGTCCAGGCTTCACAGTCCTGCTGGGCCCAGGGTACAGTGGGGCAGAGGGAAGGCGTCGTGAGTCCAACAGCCACAGAACCTGGGTGGGACGTAGTGAAAAGCTTCCGGGGGGGCAGGGACCATCAGCATGAGGGGTGACCCACTGGTGGGGCTGTCCCATGAGTTTCCAACTTCTCAGGGACAGCCTACAGTAAGACTGACCCCAAACAGAAGAGTCACTCCACCCTAAGTGGAGACACAGGCTGTGCCTACTGCCTGTGTGTGCTGGACACGGGCCCCTATGGTCTGGGGATGAGGCCAGGGTCAGGCAACCAGACCCCGTGTCCGTGTGACCCCTTTCCACAATGTTCCATCAGGTCCGCAGTGGTCAGCCAAGGCGAGGGTGATGGTGGCCAGCCTGCATCGTTAGGCCAGCCTAAGAGCCAGCACCTTCCCGAGTCTTCTCGAAGCTCCCCGTGAGGAGTCACACAAGAAGTCCCCTCGTCAGCTTGGAGTCTCTGTCCCCTCAGCTGACTTGGCCACAGAGCTCTTGCCAAGCAATCATGAGGAGCACTGGGGACCGCAGGGGCTCGCATCTTCCGTGGTTCTGCAGTGAGGAAGGACGGTGGGGGGCAGGCCAGTCAGTGATCCCAGGACTCCCTGGAGTCTGACAGGAAGCAGGTGCCCCGAGGGGCCGTGAAACACGTGTGTGTGTTGGGGGGTAGGGATGTGTACAACACCCCACTGTCTCTGGGGCTGCTAATCCACAGGGAGAGCCAGACATGAACTAAAGCTTTAGACAAACGTGTAGGGCACCTGGGTGGCTCAGGCAGTTAGGTGCTCGACTCTTGATTGTGGTTCAGGTCGTGATGTCAGGGTCCTGAGATCGAGCCCCGCATCGGGCTCTGTGCTCCGTACAGAGTCTGTTTGTCCCTCTCCCTCTGATCTTCCCGCTAAAGCTCACTCTATCTCTCTCAAATAAATAAATAAATAAAATTAAATAAAAATGTGTGGAGTCACCAATCTAGGATGACCATAAGGAGGGGACTTAGGGTCCCAGGAGAACATGGGGGTGGGGGGAGGGGGCTGAGGTGCAGCTAACCAGGATGTATGTGTGAGACTGTATTAGAGGAGGAGGTATGGAACACCCAGGGGCCTTGCTGAAAAGAAGCTGTGGGTCCCAGGGGACCACAAGAAAGGCAAGGTGGTTGACACAGGGAAAGGGAGGGGGCACAGGGAGGAGGAGATGAAAGGCGGGTTGGGGCTAGACTCCATGGTGCCTGTGGGCTCAGCAAGCAGGCTGGTGTTTACCCAAAGAGAAAGGGAGATGCACGGAAGGTAGGCAGACCATTTTAACTGTAACCAGAGGGGAGGCAGTGCCTGCAGAATCTCAGGGTGAAAAGATGGGGGGCAAGACCAGGGCACAGATAAGGGGTATGTGGGGGATACAACCGGCAGCCTGGGTCTGAGTGGGCATTATGGGGTCCAGGGCCACTCCCCAGGTTTGCTTGGCTCAGTGGATGGATCGGGGTGAAGGGCTGGGCTCCAAGTCTGTCTACACACCTGGCCTGAACCTGGGCTCTGTTCTGATTGCCTATAGTGACCAAGGTCTCTCTGATCCCCCTTCCTCACCTCTGACACACCGACGTGCTGTCTGTTGGCCAGGTTTGGGTACTCCCCGGGGTCGTGACACCCTGCGACCCAGCCCTGTCCCTGGAGGGCTTCAGCTCCTTTCTCTTCATGTCCCCAGGACCTCCCCTCCCTAAAGAAGCAACTTCCCATGGCACTGTTTTCCCTTCTAAGTTTCTGAGGTGGAGCTTCACCGTGGGGTTCCATCTCCTCCTTGCTGATAGAAGCCTGTCACTGGGGGACCCCTGCCTTTTCTGGATCACACAGCAAGGTTCTGGAGGTCTGGCTTTCTACACCCACTCTGTGAATTGTGGATGTCAGGCACCAGAAGGTTCAGTGGTATTCCTTGCACCAGCTCTGAGGCCCAGCTGGCCCCCAATCTCCTCTAGGAGTCAAGGTGAGCACCGTTCATGTCGTGAGCCACTGTGAGCTGAGGGCCTATCCATGGTCGGTCCGTGTGCCCTGCCTAGAGGCAGAGCCGAGGTGCCCCTTCCGTGGCCTTCACCAGGCAGGTGCCTGGGCCACCTGTGGTGCTCATGGTCACGTGCCTGGCATGTGCATCCTTAAACCCTCACTCAGGATCTGGCGCTTTGGGGATGTGCCTCGAGCCCAACCCCTGTGCTCAGCAGAGGGGGCCGCCGCTGCCTGTGGCCAACGCTCCCAGTGACTCTTAAATGACCAGGGCTGGTTGATTCTTTGAAGAGCTAAGCCCAGGCATCATGGAATGGCCAAGCTCCGTACCCGCCCGCCGGAGAGAACCCTCAAGTGAAGAATGAGCCAGACAGCCCAGCAGAGAGAAAGCAGGCAAACCCCAGATAGGAGCCATGTGGGCTGTGAACACCCCACGGCTCCTTCATAAGACATGGGACTTGACAGAGTAAGCTCCCTCCATCAGGCTGGCCGTGAGAACCAGACTGACCACGGCCGTGCTGCCCAGTGCAGAGTAAAACCAGCCCCAGCGAGTGGTGCCCCCATGCATGATGGATGCTGGGCCTATGGGCGGGCACATCTGCTTGGTGGGATTCAGCCCGCCCGTCAGGGGCAGGCACATCTCTGGGGTTTGGCCTTGGTCCCCCACACCATGCCCAGCATGGCAACACCAGCCCCACACACCGACCCTACAAAGCAGTCTTCCTGCCCACTTGGTGCTTCCCGAACAATCTAGAATCTGGGGAAAGCTGGGGGGGGTGGCCGGAGGATGACCCTGCTGCGGCCTTGGATCCCACGGACTTTGAGAATGGCCCGTGGGCGCCAGAGCTGGGTTTCTGCGTGGGGCTGGGTCAGCCTGTGCTCCGGGTGCAGCCGCAAGAACCCCTACTGGCCTCTTTGGTGAACAAGGACAGGGCTGCTCCCACTTATTTCAAAGGGAATATCCCTTCTCTTCAAGTGAAGGGTGGACTCAGAGATGAACCTCAGAGAGGAGACTTGGAGCTGGGAGCACACCCTGCATGCGAGCGTCTGCTCCTGCAGCGGGCCCTCCCCGTGACTCATTCTCTCATGCTTCTGGTCGCAAATCCCAGCAAGGAGAGGAGTTCAAGGACACCTTCTGGCATCTTAGCCAAAATCTGGGCGAGGTTCTGGCGTCATACCAAGTGGCTGGGCAGATTGGATCCACATCATAAACGGGACTTGAAATGGAACAGAAGGTGGCCAACCTGAGCCCCACTCCACCCATGGCCTCCCAACAACACAGCTCGGCTCAGAGTGCGCGTGAGTTTGGGGGGGGTGTGATTTGCCACGGCATGCAGGAACACAGAAGAGGGACCTCAGGAAGACACCCATCAGGGAGGCAGGGTACTTGCCTTGGAACTGACGGGTGAGGGCAGGATGGCCTCGGCATCCTCTCGCACACGCGCCGTACTCTCCTTCACACCATTACCCATTCCAGGCCAGCTCTGGGCGGCAGGAGACTTGGTCCTGGGACAGAAGGGGCAGGGTGAGACCTGGTGAGAGGAAGGCCAACCCCACCTGCCTCAGGCCTGTGACTCATCCCTGAGTCACCTGAAGCCAGAACTGCCCCAGCACGGCGCCCGCCCCAGCCTGGCTTCCACCCCCTGTGGGGGAAGGATGTGGGCACCTGCAATCCTGCCACCCAACCCTGGTCCCTGGAGCCAATCGCCTTATCACTGACATGCGCCCTCCTCGTCAGCTCTCTGATCTGATAACCACAAGCCTCTGAGCTGTCTCTTTTTTTTTTTTTTTTTTAACCTAGTACCACCCTGGCAGATGGGCTCAGAGACGTGAAGCCACCCTGGCAAGGTCACACAGCAGGAGGAAGAGGTGATCCCACCTGCCTAGACCTGAGCACCCACTGGGCTTTCGTCAGCTTGGACCTGAGTATCTCTCCACAGAAACACTTAGGAAATTACTTTTTCCTACTCTAAGTTTGCCTGATCTTTCTGGCCAAGCTTATAGTAAATCCTCATACTTGAGGATTTGTCCCTGGAAACCTCCATTTAACCTCGAGGAGGAAGTACCTGCAAAGCTCAGCAAACCACAAGGAGAGGAAGAGACTGAAAAACGTCTGAAGGATGGATGTCACCAAGATGCCAACCTTGCACTGGTGTCCTGAGGTCTCGGTTTCTGTGCTTTAAGATTATCCAATAAATCAAGGCGCTTTCCTGTAAAATGCTGCAAATGACGCAGACATCCCAATAGTGGGCTGTGAAGGCCTCTCCTGCCTTCCAGGTCCTCCGAGGGACCCTACATCAAGCCGGAGTTGGGGGGGAGCGCGGAGAAGGTCCTAGAAAGCACAAATAGGATTCCCCTCCACTTGTCCTCTGCTGCTGATTCCTACCTAAAATGGGCCCTGGCTCCAGGAGGAATGGCTGCTTGGAAGACAGGGCAGGAATGAGCCCAGAGCGCCCAGAGCTGCCAGGGAGGAACCAAACCCATGCGGGTGTGACAACGGGAGAGGGAGGGGAAGGAAAGAGCAGCTGGTGGCCAAAGCTGCAACACTCTGAGCAACAAGTACTGGATTACAGCCCGAGGGATAAAATAGATAACCCCAAGCCCATAGTTAGAAGTAAATGATTAGGGGCACCTGGCTGGCTCAGTGGTGGAGCGTGGGACTCCTGAGTTCAGGGTTGTGGGTTCGAGCCCCATGTTGGGTGTGGAGATTACTTAAAAATAAAATCTTAAAAAAGAAAGAAAGAAAGAAAAGGATGATTGAATACATAAATACATAGGAAGAGACAATCTCGCAGGCAGAAGAATCCCAAATAATTTGTGTAGCTCCTCTTCTCTGGAGGAAGGGGGTGTGTGTGACTTCCTACCCCTTGGGTGTGGGCTGCACGTGGTGACTTCCTTCCAAGAAGTGCAGCACCCACAGGGGGAAGAGAGAAACTTTACAGCAGAGACTTCTGACAGAGGCCACCTCAGCCAGGTTATCAAGGTCAATAGCCACCAAGACTCGGGCTGACGGCCTGTGCCGTGGATACGGTGTGACGAGGAGGACACTTCATCTGTGTGGTCCTCATTGAACCCATCACCCCAGGTGAGCCAGGAAAAAAACACGAAACAAATCCCAGCTGGGGAGCATCCTACAAAACACCTGACCAGCTCTCCTCAAAGCGATCAAGGTCATTGAAAACAAGAAAGTCTGAGAAACTGTCTCAGCCCAGAAGAGCCTAAGGAGACATGACAACTAGATGTCAGGTGGGATTTGGGGATAAGAAAAGGACGTCAGGGAAAACCGAGGCAATCTGAATAAACCAGAGCCTTTAATTAAGTCACCTGTCAGTATCTGCTCATTAGTTGTGATAGATGTGCCAAAGGAAAGTAAGATGTCATTAGTAGGGGGAGTTAGGTGTGTGGGGAGTCGGGGAGCTGGTACCTTTGCCAATTTTTTTTTTTAAAGATTTTATTTATTTAGTTGACAGAGAGAGAGAGAGAACAAGCAGGCAGAGAGACAGGCAGAGTGGGAGTGGTAAGCAGGCTTACCGCTGAGCAGAGAACCTGATGCGGGGCTCGATCCCAGGACCCTGAGATCATGATCTGAGCTGAAGGCAGAGGCTTTAACCCACTGAGCCACCCAGGCGCCCCACCTTTGCCAATTTTTATATAAATCCCAAACTGTTCACAACCCCACAGGGAGACACTAGGCCCTAGGGAACTTCTCAAGCCGGCTGCTTGGGTCTCCGCTTGTGGGGGGCACGGAGACTGCATCACCCCGACCCGTGGCGTGGACAGCTGTGGACCGAGGCTATGGACCCCAGGGGACGATGCCCACATCTGGGCATGTGGGTGGACAGTGCAGCCTTTCTCAGCGCTGTGTTGGGGACGTGGGCACGTTACTGTGGACACATTCTGTGAAAGTGCCTTCCTGAGAAAGGATCCAGCCCTTTGGCCCTGGCCTCAAGTGGCCCTGCTCTGTGGCCTCACCCTCCCTCCAACTCCCACTCCAAGCCACCCAGGCAACAACAGCCGGTTAGAAGCCAGCAGGGCCGGTGTGTGTGTGGGGGGTGGCTCCTTACTGGGCAGGCCGCGCAGGCTCAGAGGGGGCTGCCTGTTGAGCCCGCTGGACCTTTCTTCCCTCAGGCGCCTGGCTCCAGGACCTGCTGCGGAAACTCAATGCCAACCACTCGTGAAGGGGCCTTGGTGTGGTGGCTGTGGACAGAAACAGCGTCCCCACAGAGTCATGCTGACCTACGAGACTGTGTCACTGCAGGTGACAGCACGCCGGAAGCAAGTCACAGGAGCTCCCCCAGAGACATCTCCACCCGAGACTCGTGACTGGATTCCAAAGGGATTGGGTAAAAGGTCTCTGCAGATGTAATTAAGGAAGGGATCTCGAAGGGAGACCATCCCGGATCATCCCCTCACCTGCGTGATCTGGTAAGACTGAAGGCGAGACACAGATGGGAAGGCCACGCGACTGGGGGCAGAGACTGGGGTAATGTGGCCACAAGCCGGGCACCCCCGGGAGTCTCCAGAACTGGGAGAGACAAGATCCTGCCCTGGGGCCTTCAGAGACTGTGCTGCCCGCCCCCCCCACTCCGACAAGCACCTGTTTTGAACTTTGAACCTCCAGAATGATGAGAATGAAATTGTATTGTCTCATGCCTCCAGTCTGTAGCGACTTGTTACGGCCGCCACAGGACATTAAGACTGAGGGCCCTTTTTAGGGAAGCGGGGAGTGTCCCGTCCCCCGACCCCAACCCAGTAGAGCGGGCAGTCTGAGACTGCCAACTGCTCCCTAGGGTTCAGCACCTCCTGGCAGCTCTCCAAGGCTCACAGGGTAGAAAGGAGATCCTTGCCCTGAGGGAGCGAGGGGGGAAAGATCTCAGAGTTTGTCCCTTGGGCCAAAGGCTAATTTCTCTAAGAAATAAAGACTTCTTTGCTCTTTCAAGTCAGTAAAAAACCAAAAAAACAAAAAACAAAAAAAACCAACCCAAGACCAAAAAAAAAAAAAAAAAGAAAAAAAGCAAAGAAACAGCCAGGTCACCAGGAAACAACTTTAAAATATAATAAAAACAAAAAACAAAAAACAGGCACCCAACTGTGCTCACGGAACTCCACGTGAAGGCAGTTTGCAAGTACAGAGCCAGGAACACAACAGGCATGAGATGGGGGTGGGCACAGAGGGAGGCTGGGGGGACACTTCTCTGCGGCGGGGGGGGGGGGGGGCTGGCAAATGCCTTGGAATGTGTGCTCCCCAATACATGAGCATGAGGACTCGGGGCCACTGAGGTGAATAGGTAAGTGCCAGTGAAGGCCTGGAAGGGAAGCAACACAGAGGGAGGGTACAGAGGGAATGCGTGACTCACATCCCCACGGGAGAAGGCCACCCAGCCGGTCACTCATGAGCAGAACCCATCTTGATGGAAGTGATCAAGGTCAACACCACCGGTAACAGGGCTGACAGGGCTGACAGACAGCTTGTCTCCCCCATGTGGTGCCCCAGGAAGGACGCCCCGTGGAGTCAGCGGGATTCCTCCCAAAGGATCATGAGGAAGCAGCAGACAGACCACACTGAGGGGACCCTCAGCGACACCCGACCAAGCAGTTCTCAGCCCAAGTCCAAAGTCTGTGGACGATGAGGGAGGCACCGAGGAGCCGTCACGGGTCGGGGAGAGGAAGCAGATAGTTGTGACAGGGGGGCCTGGACCAGAAGGAGCCCTTTAGGGGAAGCACTGGGGAGGCCTGTGGCCAGGCTGGAGGGGAGCGCCCACGTGGCGTTGCTGCCTATTTTCTGCCACCTGACTGTGCCCGGGATGGTGCTAACCAACACTGGGGGTGGCTGGGTGGAGCGTCTACTGGAACTCTTAGCATTTCTGCTACTTTTCTGTCACCCTAAAATAAAGGCTAAAGAAAAAAATGCCCTATGAAAACCATGAGCTTCTGGATGTGCCAGAGGTTTCAGAGAAACACACTTCAGATGCCTGTGGCTGTTGAGGGGCTGGGGGGCTGATCTGGCTCCTCCTTGTCCACTTGGGGCCTCCAAGCCAGGGGCTTAGTGTGTTGGGCTGGGGAAGGGCGCTGGCAGCCACAGGAGCCCCGTGCAAGGGACTGGGGCTCCCAGTTTGTGGGGAGACCAGCACTGTTCTTGGTGGGGAGAGCCTGACCCTGGTCTCTCTTGGGAGTGGGGTGCTGGAGGTCTCAGCTGCGGGGCCTCAGGCTGAGGCCTTCACCCAGGGTCCATCTGTGGCTCTGCACGTGGGCTGAGAACAGGGTGAAGGCAGACGCTACACACGATGACATGATGGCGTTTTTAGGAACTCCCTTTGCTCCCGTGCTCTTTAATCTGACCAGCCTTCGCCACCGACAGGGGTGCTGCTTTACCGATGGGGAAACTAAGGCAGCGGGAGTTCCCCTGCTAGAGACAACTATGATGGTAACCGCTGCCACCATCAATTAGGGGTGTCGTGGTCACTGGTTTCTCTCTCCACCTTGCTGATGAGACACGGAAAAACTTG